TAACGCCTTACTCAAGATAATGCCCGATGGCAGTCTGAAGTACAACCAGCCGGAACTAGCTAAGGTAGCTAAGGTGGCCGAGCAGGTAGAAACGCTACAACAGCAATGGCAGCAGCGAGCAGCCAGCTGGCAGTTCGAGCCCGACGAAGCAGGCTCCGACGAACTGTTGAACGATGAACGAGAGTACCGAGATATGATTTCGAAGAATCGAACATATGTACCTCCACGCATGAGATCGAGTCTCATACAGGAACTGCATGAGTCCCAGGAATACGGACACGCAGGGATCGAAGAAATGGTTAGACGACTAGCTAAGGTGTTTGCGATACCACGCTTGCGAGCGAAGGTGCAGGAAGCACTAGGCAACTGTTTGGCATGTCACCAGAACAAGCCCAAGAGACATAAGCCCTACGGCCTGTTACAACCCCTACAGCCACCATCTAGACCATGGACAAGTATAACAATGGACTTCATAGTGAAGCTCCCGAAATCGTTGGAACCAGGATCAGCTCGATTTTGCGACACAATACTAGTAATCGTGGACCGATTGACTAAGGCAGCAAAGTTTGTGCCTACGGAAGAGACTATTACGGCAGATGAATACGCGTACGAAGTCACTAAAGCACTAGTGTCAGAGCATGGGATACCTGAAGAGTTCATCACCGATCGTGATAAACTATTTACGTCTAAATACTGGAGTACATTCCTGGCGAAGTTAGGTGTTAAGAAGAAGCTTTCGACAAGCTTTCATCTAGAAACAGACGGCCAGACGGAAAGAACGAACCAGACATTAGAGCAGTACTTACGGATGTACGCCAACAAATTGCAGGATAACTAGGTAGAGTTGCTACCGACAGCGCAATTGGCCTATAATAGCACGAAATCTGCAATAACGAAGCACTCGCCGCACTACGCGAACTACGGATATGAGCTGGTTGCTTATCAAGACCCAAGGGACATTGAAAGTATCGCGGTAGGAGCAGACGATAAAGCGAAGCTTATGCAAGAACTGCACGAAGAATTAAGTAAGAATATAGCTTAACGAAACCTCACGACATCTAAAGCAGCGAATAAACTAAGGATTGAGGGACTAATCTTTAAGAAGGGGGACAAAGTTTTCTTATCACAATAAAACCTGAAAACTAAATGACTATGCAGAAAATTGGACAACCTCCGAATAGGACCGTTTGAAATCCTAGAGGAAATAGGAAAAGTAAACTATAAGTTGAAACTCTTATAAGGCATGCGGATCCACCCTGTCTTTCACAAGAAACTTCTGGAACCAGCACCTCCAGATGCCGAGCTAGCAACGGACATAGAGCTCGAAGACGACGAGTACGAGGTCGAGGAAATTAAGGACCTACGGAAAATCGGTAGTTAGTGGAAGTACTTGGTCAAGTGGTAAGGATGGCCCGAGAGCCATAATACTTGGGAACCTGAAGGAAACCTAACGAACTGCAAGTCACTGGTACGTGAATACCACCGGAAGCACCCGGAGAAGCGAGGGGCAACCCCTTAGGGAAAAGGAAGGAATAATCAAAGGAAGGATCGAAGGAGTCAGCCTGTAACCAGCCCAGATCAGCCGATGGTTCGGATAGCGGTGGTTCGACAACAGGAAGGCCCGTACCAGGGGCAGAGTTCCCCTCGGCCTGCTCTTTCGCCCGATCCTGAAGATTCAAGATGGCAAGATCCCGATCAGCAAACTCTTGCTCTCGTGCCTCGGTCTCCAGAAGCTCGCGACGAAGACGAGAAGTTTCTGCAGCCGCACGAGAGGCCTCAGCAGCGGCCAGAGCCTGACGCTCCTCAGCACGCGCAATCTCCAATCGTTTTTTGCGCTTTTCGGCTTGAACCTTATCCCACTCCTCCTCAGACACGAAAAGACTGCACGCAGCAGTAACAGAAATACAGCTAGCATAACGCCCAGTGGCAGTATCTACGAAATAACGAAGGTTCTTCTCTTCACAGCGCTTACAACGAAAGGTCATTTCGTTCCCCTGCTCTTTTACACGGTTAGCACGAGCGCGACGCTCGGAAGTTGAATCCTGGGCACGAATACGGCGAGAAGATTGGACCTTGGGCATGGTTAGGAAGGCTACGAGGCAGAGACGGCTACAACGAGTGGACGGGCTCTGACCTTATATGCAGCCGGCGTCTCAACACGCGGCACGGGGAAACGATATTCTAGGGTATCGGGACGATAGCCCTAAGAGGGGAGGTAATGTTATAAGTAATAAGAAGAATTCTCTCCTTAACAAGTAACGAGATGGCTGAAGGCCTATGGACGTCCACGCTAGAAGGTAATGATCATCGCGGGGCGAGGATCACGTGATTGACATCACGCCAAGACGACCGTCAGACGCTAGTATGTGATGGCAGCAATCCTTTGATGGCAGCCATCAGGACATTAGGCTAAGCAACGGAAAAGTCGTGATGGCAGTGATGGCAGGACTGGAAGCAATGAGGATATAAGGATGGATGGATTTTATTATTACTCTTGTTGTGGTCAACTCAAATTGTACTTTCTTACTAGTATCCTTACTTAACAAGATTGTCACAAGTTAGTCTATTAAATAGATTAGTCTTGTTAAACCCTCCTTAAGCACGCTAACTCTACTGCATCGCCAGACAAGCCTCACGGAACACTAACGTAATACTCACCTGCCTTAGTGCGGACTAGGATAGAGAAGTATAGACCCTTACCCCGTGTAACAGAAGGATCGCTATGGGGCTTAGGATCACGTGACTTAGTATTTTGCTAAGAAGGGATATCTCGCTAAGAAGGTAGATGCTATAACATCTAGAGATGTTAGGGACATCTAAAGTATCTCTAGATGCTAGAATATTTAGAAGATGTTACAGATGTTAGAACTAGAAGTAACGAGAATATAAGGATAGATAGATTTTATTATTTACTCTTATTGTAGTTAACTTAAATTATACTTTCTTACTAGTTACTTAACTTTATAAGATTAATACTTATTAATCTATTTAATATAGATTAGAAATTGTTAAATCTATTGTTATCTATCTTATAAGTACGCCACTCTACTGTATTGCCAGACAACTACCTTACGGAGCTATTCACCTACCCTGCTCGCCCTAACCCGGATCGAGTTTAGAGAAGTATAAGCACCCCACCCCGTGTAACATATAGTAGTAATAAAAACACTAAAATCTACTATTTCTTATCGCTCTCACTACTATATTAGGCGGTGTCTAATACCCTATATAAAACCAAAAATAAAGAGAGGTAAGTTTAATATAT